CAAGGGCACAAGTACCCCCCCCCACCCCAGATCCACCTCTCCACAGCTGCTCCACACAACTCGTTGGGGCACACGCAGTGCTGAAGCATCGAAGTTTGGCGCCTGGGGCAAAGCCTGCAGCAGCAGCTCGCCCTCACTTCTTGCACAGATCCAGGCGGGTACACGCCCCACCATGCTTGCCAGGAGTGCACTTAGAGGCGGGAGCTGCCTTTTCCATGTCCCCCACAGCCGGAGCAAGGCTCTGCCCCCAGCGCAAGGCGGAGGAGGCCCCGGGGAGAGTATTTGGGCAGGCGGCCTTCCCTGGGTCCCCACATATCCGAGCTCTGCAGGATGCATCTATGCAGCTCCCCAAGGGCAGCCCAAGGCCACTGCTGCCCCCCAGCCCCAGGTCCCCCTGAGAGCCGGGGGGCCGGGGCACGGTGCTGCGAAACGCGGGCTGGGGGTCTGGATTCCTTTGTGGCTGGATCCCTCTGAGCCCTACTTCTCTGCACCCCCATGGCTGGGGTCACACAGGAGCTGGGACCCCGCAGCGGTCCCTGCTGAGCAGCCACAGCCAACGGTTCCCCGCAGCCCAGGGGGATGTCCCCAGTGGCTTCACTTTTCCCAGGCAGCACCATGGCCCCAAATAAAGGCAGACCTCCCCGCCTCCGTACTCAAATATGGGTGGCTACAACAAGTCCTCTCCGGCATGGCAAATATGATGGCCCTTGGCCCACAGCACCTGGGCAAAGCAAGAGTGAAAGTCAGGGCTAGAGGATGCTGGCCTTGTGCAGAGTCAGTCATTGACCCTGCCTGAAAGGATGGGGCTTTGGCCACGAGGCAGGCAGGGGCAGCAGCCATGGAAAGAGTCAAGGGGCCCAGAAGTGAGAGTCAGAGCTAGCAGGGTCCTGTGGTGCACAGTGCAGGGCTTCCCAGTATGAGTGCTGAGGTCCTGGGTTCAGATCCCAGCCTTTTGTGGGGAGGTGCCGTTCTCTTTCAATGGAGGGGCCTGGCTAATGCGCCTCAAGGGGCCCAGGGCTGGAGCAGCTTTCAGCCTTCCCTGGTAGTCTGGTGGTAAGGGTGCTACTTTAGGTAGCAAAGACTGTGAGTTCAAGTCCTAATTTGGCTGGAGCTTTCCAGCTCCGCAGGGAGAACAAACCAGCCTGCCTGAGTGTTTTGCTGGTGTAAGAGTGGGGTGTTCCCTTGAACATCAGGGTTTCCCAGTTTTCTGCCAGTGCTCTGTGTTTTAACAGCAATCAGCCCTGGGCACCAGAGGGAAATCAGATGCATAAGGAACGGGGGCAGCCCCTCTCCTCCCAGCCCTCTGGCTGCACCCTGCGCTAGGATCGCCCCGGGCAGCCGGGGCACCTGCTCACCGCTGGGCCCGGGGGCAGTGCAATGGGCCACAGAGCCCCCCTCCACTGCTTGCTTTTCTGCCGCACCCGGGGGCACGGCCTCTACACATCCCGTCTCGGCTGCGGCGGGGGGCTTCACCGCGTGGGGGGGCTGCCCTCTCCACTCCTCTCCCCCCTGCCTGGGCAGGGCCCGACTTTTCTGCCGCTCTCTGGATTGAGGCGGCTCCTGCTGCTAAAACCTGCAGCAACAACCAGCGCAACCCATGTGCAGCCCTGTTCCTCGAGCCCGACTGGGGGCAACAAGAGGGGCTACCGGGGCAGGCGGCCGCCCCACGCTCACCTGCTCCGCTGTGTCCCGGGGTAGACACTTATGTACCGGGGCACGGCCACCCATCTGCACATTCACCGCACCTGAAACAGCTGCCGGGTGGAAGGGCCCCACGCTACAGTCCAGCCCAGCCAAGGATTTGCCTTCTCCGGACTCCGCACCCTCCTGCCTTGGGGCCTCCCCAGCCCTGGGGTCATCTCCCCTGGAGGCAGTAACGAAGCTCGTGCTCGGAGCCAGGCTTTTGGCAAACGAGTCTCTCGCTCCCCTGCTGCCCCCGGCCTGGGCACGAGGCGATTGTCCTGTCTCACCCAAGCTCTGCTCGGGGGTGGCTGGAGCCCACCTGCTCCCACCTGCCGGGGGGTGCTTGCCCCGGGCACAGGCAGTGCTCCCTGGGCTCAGCTGGGGGAGCTCCCTGCCCTGCCGGGCACTGCCCGGAGCCCGGGGGCAGCAGGTCCTCGCCCGGGCTCTGCC